CTAAGCACAAAACACTACACATATCTGTCGATAGCGCTGTGACGTGACGAGTGTGGTTCGCCACTAAATATGGCCATCGCTCCTTGTCGGAATTTATTGTTCGGAAAGGTTCCAGAAGAGAACAAAATACTGGCTACCAGCTCATCTGGAATATCGCGCAGAGTCTAGAGAGCACCGTCGAACAAGGCCTACTCTGGACCGGGCGACCGAGTAGTACAACAGCCCACAACGCCAACAACTACTCTCTTCTACTTCTATGCGCACCCAGTCTACAATTTCTGCAACTGGAAACAAACACTCTATACCGTACAAAAAACCATGTCTCACCAGCGAACTTCGCTGATCGCTGCCAAAGTCGCAATGCGTACAAGGTTGGCGGTAAAATTTAAGGTGGACAGGGATTGGATCTATTTTGAGGGGGCGGGAGAAGAAGGTGAGCCACTATGGTCAACACAGAGTACGCAATCAAACTGTGCGTACATACCGTTTTAAGCATTCCTTCATTTATACATTCGTTCTGTGCTCTCTGTTTTTCCCATTTTCATCTAATCTTTCTGTACCCCATCACAAGTTCATTACCGTTGTTTTGCATTGGCACCACGCTTGTTCTCATACCGTTTTAAGCATTCTGGCCTGATAATAAATTACAACAAGGATACCACTGCTGCCGGTTCGCTGCCATATCCTTCAATATCTCCAACCAACCAGTTGTGGAGTCTTTCGGACCCCAACCTGGAAGACGAGACACCTACTCTACCTAATGGCTCTGTGCACTTTTTCATGCCTCGTCTCTACGTCATCTGTTGACCTCTACGTGGTTTCCTCCAACCCGGATTAGCCACAGCGATTAAAACCCGGTGCGGCAGACGATGGCTGGGCATACGCAATACGTGCCCTAGCCAGCGAAGCCCAGTAATCTGAATTCGGTGTGCTAGCAGGTTTACACCTGACAGACCCCCAAACACACGATGGTTAACCTCCACGTTACTAACCCGTTCGCTGCATCCAACGTAGGTTAAACTGCGTAAACACCAATAATCGAAAACTTCCAGTCGACGGATATCTTCTACTCGCAAATTCAGGATCTCACAACCACTGGAATCCAATCCAGGAGGGCGTTTCACTGAGAGCCACACCAACGCCAGCAAGACCGGAAGCCGCAGTCTTAGGGTCCCCAGGTAGGTTCAAGTGAAACTTCACTGATGGGTTTGATGGGGACGTCAATCGGATAACGAAGCTGGAGTCTTTATTGATAGTTCCTTGGATGCCACACGCATCGATGGCTAAGGTTTCGAGCGTACGAGCTAAACCGACCTGTTGTCCTATACGCATCAGGGTAGGCATATAAAACGTGGTTAATTTGAATGGATATCGAGGGCGAAGAAGGGCTTCAGCTGGTGGAGGATTCGGTGAGATTTGGACGCCAGTCGAGGTAGGATAACAGGAAACAGCAGCAGAATTTCCGCCCGTGGCACTACTGTTTGTGGGCAATTGTACCAGTCATTCGCCCGGTCCAGAGTAGTAACTATCTCAGACTCATCTTTTTGCCTACTTCAATCCCATGTTCCTCTACTATTCATCACATATACTGTAATTTCTCAACACCCAGCACCATTAAACTTAGACCACGTTTCCTTTTAATGATACATCAGTAACTCCAGATGGCTCAGAACGGAGGTTGTGAGCTGCTGCTTCGATCCTGACAAAATCTCAGACGTGTCATTCTGAAGAACAATCAGAAGTGTTTTACTTTACAAGAACCGCACTAAACCGTCAAAGTGGATGAAATAATACAACAGTCGTGCCGCCGTTCTGCTATCAGATTCACTGGTGCAAGAAACGGGACCGTTTCTGGCTCCCCCGCAAACCCTGTAACTTGTCCTGTCCTGAACAAAAGCTGCACCAATTCAGAAAGAGCATTGCGCTTCTACTAAAGAATTTTCTAGTGTATTAACGTGAACTTATTAGATGAAATTATGTACCATTATCTGAATCTCAATCGGCAAAACTGTCGCAGAATAACACGAGCTAGTTCCTACGGCATTAAGGATACAACTTATCAGTGACGGAGACTCATTATCACTAACCTTTGCTCTTAGCAAACGACGAAACCTAGGGTCCGCGAGTTCGTCAGCAGATGGCTTCTGCATTGTATCTTGGTCAGCCTGGTCATCTTTCCCCTTCGTACGAGCAATACCTCGAGAAAAGGCCTTGATCTCCTCAACCTGTTGAACTTGCTGTTCCGGTTCTGATTCTGAACTAGAACTGGATGCGAAATTTGGCTTTTTTCCAGCAACATAACGCTGAACTTTCACCTTCAGCATGTATATTTGACCTAAAGTAGAGTTCGAAAATTAATTTGCCAACAGTACCTTTTTCATTCCTGATCGGAACAGCACCTGCTGTGGAATTAATCTGAGGTGCGGCAGGTATACCACTCATTGTCATAACCAATACAATCGGTTGTAAACAAAAGCCAAAGTGGAATATGCTTGGCTCGTGTGTGTGGCAGGATCTCCACGTGAACCGCAATGAGTAGAGTCTAGGTTTGGGATGGAAATGTCTACAGACAGGCTCTCCGTGGAGGGTCAAATGACAGTCTATAAGAGTGGAAAAAAGGCAAACACTGAAAGAAAACGACTAGTGAGATAGGAACACGACTCACACTAAAAAGGAGTGGCAAGTAGCCGGAGGAGCAAAAGATCTGGCAGCGCTTACTCGCACAATACGGCGTAGCGCAAATCAATCCAATCCAATCCAATCCAATCTTCCAGGACGTAGAGGCCTCGGCCTTATGGTTGT